GCCGCCTACCATCACACGGCATATGTGGCGGATATTACAGATCCATGCATACTCGGATTGGACTTTTTAAGGAAATACAATTTTTCCTTAGACTTGAAAAACAACAAACTGCTTTCAGGATCTAAAGACATGACTATCCTAAGAAGGGATCCTCACCTGGAAATGCCGACGCTTTGTCCGAAAGAACCAGCTCGAGAAACAGCCGAAATCATGCTAGGGTCGAAAAGAAACACCAGACTACCAGCTATTCTCCATCTCAGATGCTTTTCGGTCGAGACCTTCGTCTGCCTTGTGACCGCCTGTTTCATCGCCGTACGGATGCGCCTTCATCGCCTGAGGAACACATCCAAGATGTCAAGGCCCGTTTTGAAGTGATGCACCGTTCCGCACGAAAGCGAGTGAACTTGGCGACGGAGAAAGTGAAGACCAGATACAACACGAGAGCTGCTGGACATAGATCCAACGAAGGAGACAAGGTGTGGTTGTGGAACCCGATTCGACGAAAAGGAGTCAGGCCTGATTTACAGTCACCTTGGGATGGTTCGCACACAATCCTAAACAGGCTAAATGACGTCATGGTTCGGATCCGTGAGTCTTCGAACTCTTACGACAGGTTAGCTCATTACTATGGCCATAGTACGTAATGTAAATAATTGTAAATAGTATCAGACCATGGTCCTTTTTGTTTATAAATGTGTATTTAGTATTTGATTTGCATTTAATATTTGATTTGTTTAAGTTAGTTATTGCATTTATTGTTTATATTGTTTGATATTGTAATGTAATGTTTATGCCTCGGTTGCATTTATGCCACAGTTGTAAGTTTAGCTTCCTGTCCAGGGATTGTACTGCCCGGGACGTGCAGTCCTTGGGAAGGGGGCAGTGTTACGAATTTGCTATTTAAAAAGCTAATGTTAGTTCAATTATAAATTAAATGGTTTTATTTCTCGCGCAGTGCAGCGCGTGACGAATATTAAAAGAAAGCTAAGCCGGAAAAATTAAAAATACAAGAGCGCGTGCGTTAAATAAATAAATATCTCTTTTTGATTTCGAGAAAGTACTGGAAAATTCTAGCGCGTGATTTTAAAATCTTATAAAAGGAGGAAAACATCTCAGTTCGTAGTAGTTGCTTGCTTAGTTTGTTGTTGTTTAGAAAACTGCTCTTGTTGATTGTAGCGAATTCGCGGATTAGCGTTCTTTAGCTGTTTTGAATTACGTTCTATTGGATATCTGAGTAGTTAAAAGATAACTACTGTGAGATATTGTAATACTGCATGATAATTTGAGAAAATTTAAGCATTTTTGTTGTGATAATAATAAATTTTTGTTCATTTTTCATCGGACTTGTGCATTCATTTCATAACGAACCCGTACGCACGCAACAATATGTATAGGTTATGCAAATTATGCATGTAGTAAAAAATGAATGCAATTTAAAAATATATTATCAATAACTTACAGTTTCATGTATTCTGTATCTGCTAGGATGTAAGACTGTTGGAAACTATAGTCTATAAGGTATTTTCTTCCTCCTTCCAGCATGCCTTCGTTGGTACCACACTCGGCGAGTATTCGAGAGGTCCAGGCTCGAGTCCCGACAAGGGCGCTGCTCATTCTTCACTTCTCCTCCTTCCCCCCCCCAAAAAAAGCCTAACAACTTTCCAAGTATATATGTTACGGTGAAACACCGAAATCTGAAGAATGTCGACTTTCACCGGTGAATGTGAACATTCACATAGTCACTTGGTGTATGTCCGATATATTTTCCAAATACTCTTATTTCTGACTTACACCTGTAAATTTCGACATTCACCATGTACTAATGGTGAATGTTGAACATATAGAATAATATATTTTCTTCTCCGTAATTCAGTCGCAAAAAAACGCACTTGAGACTTAAAATAAGAATTGAAGAACATAAGAACTTAAAATACACAGTACATTCAAAATGAGAAAAGAAAATAATAGAACTTAAAATCTTATTAAATTATTTCATTCAAATCTTATTTATTGCAACAACTTAAACTATTATGGCTCTTTGAATTGCACAAGAGGCCCTTGCTTTTACAACTTCATTTATTTGTGGAACACTTCCTTTTGCACTGACAGCGTGTACATATACTCCTCTCTTTTCCACCTACACCAGAGCATATCTCTGATTGACGACGTGCACCGGTGAGAGTCGAAATGTACAAGAATGTAATGCAATATTCGATCTTTCACCGACGTATTTGGTGAATGTTGACATTCTCCGGTGAATGTCGACATTCTCCAATTTCGGTCTTTCACGGTAACATATATAATAAAAGTATTATATCTTAAGGCTGCAGTAATATATCGCGTTTAGTTCTAGATTAAAAGAGAAAAATAAATATCTTACATTTTCTCGAATGACAACAGTCTAACGAGCTGAAGATAAAAATATTTTATTTCGAACAGTAATGCCATTGCTCGCTAACTCAGCGATCTGAAATTTTAATTCAAAGTTCAATTTGTAAAATATGTGAAAAAATAAAAAAACAAATTCAAAAGCCTCGAAGGGCACATATTCGGATGGAGGACTCTGTGTATTAAAAATATGGTGGATCTAGATACAGCTTTCCAGTTTTCTTGTTTATTAAAGTGATATAGTTAATCAAATTGCACATTAACCGAGGCTTCTAAAATTTTTGTTCCTTGCGAAAAGATGAAAACATTATTGTCACGAATCATCAGCATAAAACTAAACCATTAAAAGGAAAAGAAAAATACGAGAGCAATTGTCGCAGGGCATATTATTGTTATTTATAAATTACTTTCTTCATTTCCAGTGATATTTAGTTTTCTGTTACTCAGAGTTCTTCATTCCTTTTATGTTTACTCTTCCTTTATTTAGAAGGTGTTCAGTTTCCTTATTTAATTTTGAAAACCAAATGGAATTTTTCTCCACGTTAGATTAAATGATTTTAACATGGCAAAGCGCACGAGGATTATCTGCGCAAGGGGAGGGATTTTTCTTGGAGGACTTTCTAATGAAACCTGGCTCGTACTTACGTTACACAAACAAAAAATGGTTGAGTCATTAGAGTTTTTTGATATTGGAGACATAAAAAATGAGCAATGCCTTCGCCGGTACTCGAGCCTGGACCTCTCGAATACGCGTCGAGTGTTCTATTGTTACACCACGAAGTCATGCAAAAAGAAGGAAGAAAATACCTTATATAGCCCCTTTTAAAGGGCGACTGGGGATTCGCGGACCCACTCGCCATATCCTGGTGGTGAAGAATCATCATCCACTAGCCGTTAGTTCGGGCGCCACTGTAGAGTCATTAGGTTATTTTGAAGTTGGAGACCTGAGAAATGTGCAGTGCCCTCACTAAGACTCAAAACTGGATCTCTCGAATACCCGCCGAGTGTGCTACCTTTACACCACGAAGGCATGTAGAAAGGAGGGAGAAAATACCTTATATACTACCCCTTTCTAAGAGCGACCTTGGGGTTAGGGGACCTAGTTGCCAAATCCTGGTGGTGACGAATCATCATCCACAAACTTCCTGTTCGGGCGCACTGTTGAGTTATTAGGTTATTTTGAAACAGGAGACGTGAGAAATGTGCAATGCCCTCGCCGGGATTTGAAAGTGGACCATGAGGGCATGCAGAGAAGAGGGACTTTATAAATCTGAAAATATCACAAAAACTGAGTGTGCAACGAGCCCGAATCCGGCTAGTTGCACTCCGTGGGGTCGAGCCCGGGTTGAACTTCCAGTATTCTGCGGTCTTAGCGACTCTTCTTCAGATTAAGCTTTAGAAAATATATGTAAATTATTAGTTGCGTTTTTCTGTAGTTCTAATATGGATTATTATGCCGACCAGACGGGAAAGCAGTAAGTGACCTCTAATGACCGTACCGAAGGACGCAAGCTCGAATCCCCCAGAAGGCATGGATGTAAATTATCTGTCCCTTCATAGGAGGTAACGGTGGCTCACCTATTAGATGCCTCCATAAAAAAGTGACCACCCCTCCCGGCTTTGGTAGTGGCCAATATCTATTATGTCTAGTGCTAAAAAATAATATGGGTTATTTCTCCTTCCTATATGTTGCGTCTTGTTGTGACTTATCTCAGTTGTCTGACAGTAACATCAGAACACGCCCAAGAAATTGATCATGGTAAGGAAAGCAAGATTGCACCTTTCGTTGGCAAGAGCCTTCAGGACCATACAGATGACAGCACGATTCCGCTGAGTTCAGCCCCCAGTTTTGATGCAGGGCACCCCGGAAGGACGGTTCAGAGGATCTCCCACCCCTCTTCCTCTATTCGCAACCTCTCCAGAGGACTTTCGGCTCGTCATATATTTAGAGTGCCTCCATGCCACAAAGTCACTATATATTTACAAAGATTCATGGCGTCAAGGGATTCGAACCTGGCCCCTCGTACCATAGTGGGCTCCCCTAACCACTATACTGTCTGAACGGTCCCCTTTTCCTATGTTTTTCTAACTGGTGTGGGATTAATCATTTGTTTTAACAGTTGACGTTGTTTGTGATCCTTCGGTGAATCGAGAATAAGCTGTAATAATGTTCTGGTTTATTTCTAGTTACATTATATTCTTGTTCTGATGAGAAATCTAAAACTATTCCAGATATTTTTCAACTATCGGTACAATGAGCAGGGAAAAAAAAAAAGCACAAAAAACACAATCCTTTGATATTTAAAAGTGTCTTAATTTATGCATTTTAAATTTATTTCGCTGAATTTTTCTTTATTTTACGGATACAATTACCATGTTTTTATTGACTTTCGAACTTGGTATAACTTGTGCACGTTAACTATACTTCAGTATTTATTATTTTTCAGGAAACTATGTTTTAAGAACAAAATATTCTTCGTTAGCTTGTTAACTACAGAATAAAACGCATTTACCAAAACGAAGTTTACGTAATTTTTGGCGATCTTTTGGCGTGCTTTCTTTCCAACGGAGCCAACATTTGATGTAACCATAATAAGAGAACTGCTGTTGGCTGACGTAACATACTATTATGAGAAGAGCCTATTCTTTCCGACTGAATAATGTCTTCTGCTTAGTGAAAGTTTGATTGTCATCTCGTTGAAGAAAGAAAGTTTTAACTTACTTTTTACGTTATATAACGACAACAAGGAAATGTTTCATTTAATCATTTTTGTAATAGGACTACCAGGTAAGGTTTTGTTTAAATAAAGAAATGCGAAAGTGATTAAGTGTTGAATAGACGCAACTTTATTTCAAACATTAAGTTTGAAACTTATTTATTAAATTACTTATCAAATAAATGTTTGCTTGATTTTTTGAATTAAGATTTAATTTAATTTTAAAGGTATTTCACCGTAATTTTCTCTGATGCTATTTTTCGATTGTTTTAACTACTATGTTGATGAAATTAATTTAAATATATGGTTTCACCCTATATGTCGCATTGCTACGTAAATTAATCGATGGAATAATAAGATGAAGCTTAATAAAAGTAAAGTAATTTTTGCTCCCACTGACAAACAAGAATTTAACAAGAATTCTGCCTGGATTAAGGAACGGAAAAGGAAAAAAGGGGAAAAAAGAAGAAAAAAAAAATTGCTAACGCTTTTTTCTTTTTTTATATTTTGATATACTATGCATAGTTGTTTCAAATTTAGAATTGATATATGTTTGTGTACAGTAATTTCATGCTTTACATCAATATTAATTATCATTAATAATTTAGATTGTATTAAATTTTATTTCTAAATTGCAACATTTTATTTCATTGAAATTATGAAAATGCAATAAAAATTGAATATAAAATGGAATGTATTTGGAAAGAAAGTCTAACTGTACTTTTTGGAGTAAACAGTGCTCCTGTTTCGTCCAAAAGAAAGATGAAAAAGTCAATATAACACGGGGAATCATCTTTAAACCTAGACCTCTTGACTATTGTTAAAAGATACAGCCGAGTCATTATTTTGAAAAAAATGTTGCGCACCTGTTTCACGAAAAAAGTGAGTCAGCTGTATTGCTAATTTAGACAAAAATAAATTATTCCCCTTAACACAAATTTCAGTGTCGAAATACAACACATCCTGCAATAATGTATTCCAAAGAATGCATAAGAATGGTTTGTCGTTGACATATGGTTTCGGATTAAGAAACGAAGAAAATAAAACTAGATTTTGGACTATGCTCATTTGCTCGCGTGATACTTTTTAATAAAACATGCGAAATTAAAATTTTTCTACGGATCCATTAAAAACATTCCAGCACCTAAATTGAGCATCATGCAGCTAAAGGCTTCTCAAAAGAAAATCAGTTACATGATTACCAAAACTGTCCTTACAAAAAACCAAACTTACAAAACACCAAAAGAGCGTCAATTTAGGTGTCATAACAATATCGACTTTTATCATTATGAAAATATTTTTGCAACAACTGTAATTTCATATTATGAATATCACAAAGAAAATAAATTTCTAATACCTCTTACAAGTCGACTGCAAAATTTGTAACTGTACGTCTAGCGTACAGTATCTTGTGCATTCAGAATAAAATCTAATGATTCCGATAAAGCTTTTTTGTCGCATATAGATAGAAAATCTCCCCCAAATAAAAAAAAATCATTTTTTTTTTTAACTTTGTTCATATGATAATTTTTCGAAAAATTCTGTTTATATTATTTTATGTCCAACAGAGATATGCAGAAACAAGCTTCTAAAACTGAAATTTTTTTTAATTGAATTTTAATGTTATTCAACGCTAAATTTTTAGTTTCATGAGACTGGAAACAGGCGATATTATTATATTACGAATAAAAGCAAAATAAATGTACGATTTCCATTCATTTTAATTTTTCTATATTTAACTTATTTCTTTTAATTTTTTACTGATAAATTCTTCTTCGAGGTATTACACTGCAATGTAAAGTTTACATTACTTTCTTTGATTTATTATTTTATTTATTTTTTAACGAAGAGCGTAAGAATTTAAGTTTCATGCACTAGAAGATGTCATTAAAATAAAATTGCTCCAATCTGAAACTTAGCTTCATTTGATTGATCCCTCGTTGATTAATATGTTGATCAGCTGATCATTAGAAAGAATGCGTAAGGGGTTGTAGAGTCATTAGTTTATTCTGAAGCAGGAGACGTGAAAAATATGCAGTGCCCTCGTCGGGACTCGAACTCCGAACCTTTTGAATACGCTTCCAGTTACGCCATGAAGGCATGCGGGAAGGAGAGGGAAAGTACCATATATACTCCCCCCCTTGCAAAGCGCGACTGGGGATGAGGGGACTCAGTCGCCAAATCCTGGTGGTGATGAATTATCACCAACCACCTTTAGTTCGGGCGCCCCTTGCACAGCCTTTAGGGTTTTTGATGCTGAAGGCGGAAAAAATGTGCAATACTCTCCCCTGGACTCGAAACTTGGACATCTCGAATACACGACAAGTGTGCTTATAGAAGGGAGAAAATACCTTAAAGGTTATTGTGGAGAGAGACTACCAGTAGAATTTCCACTGGAGTCTCTTGTACTCTGCCACTTCGTTCACGAGAAGAAACTACAGTAACTTGCCAGTGGTAATCTAACAGTACTAAGCAATCATACTAGTTCCAAGGTTACTTACTGTACCACAAATTTTGCTCTTGCGTGATATCATTGACTCCTAATCTACTCATAGGCGTCTACTTCTTCCAGTGGCTTCTTTCTCCCACTTCTGTAAGTGACGTCACCGCTAGTAAAACAGGGACCATATAAGAGATATATAAGGTCCATCTGGTAAAAGACCAACTTTTGCTTGTCTCTTGACCCTCGTTGTTCATTGTTGATCGATGGATTAAGACTGCTGAATTCTGTAATCTGACCTGGCTTTAATCGATACGAACGAATCAGGAGCATTAAATTCTCGTAATGTTCTTCATGTATCGAGTAAATAGGAACTATTTGCCTTTAGAAGCATCATAAATGAATACTATCTTTCTTTATAGGTAGGGAGTTCTCGCTTGCTTACCTCAGTTAATTAGCTAACCAAGCAATGCACCATTATGACACTGATGAATTCTCTTAAACTGTGAAAGGTCACTCGCACTTGAAATATTCATTTGCGCAATCCTTTTGAAACATCCCGTATTACAGACATAAAATAAATCAATTTCGTAAGACTAAAATATTTTTGCCAGCTTCTTTCTCAGTTTTACACTCATTCTGAAATGCAGGACACCTCAGACAATTGTTGGAATTCTGCTTCCGAGTAGTTCACATCACGCACATAAGAATATATTTATTTTTAACTTTCCAGTTTAAATGGAAGTATAAAATAAGCATGGTAAAGTTAGAAATTAGTTGTAACTGTGTGCTGGGCAAACAAAAATTACAAAAGTTGTTTAGAACGTAATTCTGTCTTCAAAAGCGCATTTATATTTAGACTCGTTATAAGCCATATGACTTCTGAACTATAGTTAATAGTTATAATTCTAAAAAATTCTATAATGTATTTTTGTGAAAACTTAATTGTGATATCTTTCTAATTTTTCTTCAGTTATGTGCTGTTAGTTCTGCTCAATATGATGCATTTTTACATTCAATATTAATATTTAAATATTTACCTCTCACATCTCTACGTTACATTTCCCTCTTATTATGCTTTTGGCTGCCGCGGGTTTCTGCTGTTGCTTCCTATGAGTAAAAGTTTTGACGTCAGAAATGTTTATCGTAATTCCTCTCCACGTATCGTAGTATCTTATTTTCCACTACACCATTTGACACTAATCTTCCACACGGTCAAGCAAACTGCCAACTCTAATGTCCACTGAAATTACACGTCGCATGCCTTTAGTAATTATCCAGAGATTCAAGCAGATTGCCTCCTCCGGAGCTGTTAGCATTGAACGCAGCTTAAGCCTATAATTTACTCATCGTTTATCAATGTTACTCTACTATTTAAAGACAACATACGAAGTTCTTGATAGTTTATATAATTTATTTCATTTATTTACCTCATTTTATTATGTTACAGCAATATACTGTTTGTCAAGGTAAAAAGAGTAGTATTTATAAAAACATAATATATTTGTTCATAATTTATACTATAAAACTCTTCATAAATATCTTTTATGACTCTTTGTATACGTAATTAAATTTGGGCTTTCAGAGCATTGTTAGGTATTAGGTATTTGTAAACAAGGAGTGAACTGACATCAAAATTTATACGTACACTATTCAAAGAATTTTTTCCCTAAGTAAATTAATCTGAAGAATGTGAAAATTTAAAACTAAAACTGAAGAAGGAGGTCTAGAATTTAATACATTCGCAAGATTTTATGCAGAGTAATAACTGTGGTTTGTTAGAGCACATTTATGCAAACCCTTTCTCATCTAAGCGAGTATTGGAAAGAATAAGATAATTATTTTAATTATGAATAAGTATTAAAGAAAATTAAGAATAAAATGAAACTTTTGATAAAGCTAGATAACTAAAATTAATTTATTTTTAGACATAGCAAATGCACCATTTGAATAAATTTCAGATAAAAATTTTAAACATTAAGAGAGTGGCAAATAATTTCATTCAATTAGATATTTTAAACAGAAGACTATAAAGATAACAAGCAGTTTTCTTGTAATTTTATTTTACGAATCAGGTAAAAATTTAACAACATATTTTAAAACCCGATCTCCAAGTAAACGTTCATTCTTTACATAATCATGTAAATGCTATCTAATATTTATTTATAAAATCTAATAATAAATACATGTTCATAGAGAAATAACACTTCGCATATTGACATTCTCTGAGGGGCGAATGACAAAGACGCAGAAGACTAGTAACTCATTTTGTAGAAATTACTAGCTTTCGTTCTGAGAAACGTGAGCAGCGTCCTCGCTGGGAATTAAACTAAATGCGCTCATTACTACATTATAAGGATATGAATGGGATTAGTAATGGAATGGATTTAATGGTTATGCAAAAGCAAACTACACTATTTGTCCATGAAGATGCCTTCGTGGAGGATTTTCCGAAGGAAACTGATTCGTGTTCACTTTACACATAGCGAAACTACGAAAACGCCTTTGCAGCTACCTCGTTCGCTGGGTTTTGAACCCGAATCAAATTACTAGTGCTCAGCAGTCTGGTCTCCTCGACCGCTTGTTAGTTCAAGACACGTGAAAGGCAAGCTTTAATTCCTTGAAATCCTC